AGGGCCTCTTCTGACCAGGATTCGAACCCTGAGAAGCGAGAGTGCGATCCACTCAGCCACCGTATGAAGTAAGTTACATACCGGCAAGAGAGTTTGTGTATACATCAGATTGCATTGTAATTTAAGAACTAGTTAATTAAAACACAAAATGATCCTTAAACAGATGGTTAACGCTAAGAAAGTGTGTTACTTAGATCTGAGTTTGGATCCGACACACAAAAAGTGCTCGTCTTCACATTGTCACATCTTGTATCTTCTTTGTTTTCCTTTCTGGGCGACTTTACTTCACTTTTTCCAACATTTTTTTGTATGGGTAGAATGACTGGAGACTTGAAGCAGAGGTATTGGCACGCCATTACTGCCATTCAGCTGTAATGGCCTGAGACAGTGTGGAGATTGGCTGTTTATAAGTGCTCGTTCTCATAAGTAATGGTCTCGTGTTGCTATGTAAAGAAGGCTCTGTCTTTGGGAAAATAAGTCATATTTTAAAATGACGTTTACTCTTGACAGAAAGATGGCAACTGGCACATGAAAATGCATGAAGCGAAGTCTCCCGTTAAACAGTCAAGACATCCTCAATTTGAAAGTCTGAGTTGGATGGATCTATTTATGATATAGGGCAGTGTCAAAAATATCATGAACAAAAAATTGCAATCTCAACTTTTCTCAATCCTGATTATTGACACGTGGATTCAATTTGAGAGATACCAACCATGGAACCAAAGAGGAGGACGCGTTGTTCCTTCTCGTAAATCCACTGTTTAGGATTTTTTTTTATTTTTTTTACTGAGCCAGGGACAGCAGCATGTGTCTTTTACTGCTCTTACTTGGTCATCCACAGTGGCTTGAATGCACATTATGAATAAATAACTTAAGCATTTGTTTCTGTCTCTATGCAAGGAAAAAATAAAAAGAAATAATTGAAACTCAAGATCTGGAAATATCTTGAAGTTGGGCCCAGATCGCCCTGCCCAAATTTCAAAGCAAATTTACACCAAGTTGTCAAAAGTATATTGTTTATTGTGACAGTATGTATTAATGGACAACAGGTGCTGTAAATACACACAATTTCCAACTGTAATCGCACTCACAAACACGTACTCATTCACCCTGAACTATTGTACACGTCAGTGATGGGGGAAACTGGAGTACCGGGAAGAAATGTACACAGACACAGAAAGAACATGCAACAGAAGGGCCCCGTATGAAGGAGGAATCGAACCCCCGGGACCATGCCACCCAGTAAATGATACTAAAACTTTTATCAAAACTAGATATTCAATTGAGCAAGAATTAATACAATAAATACAACAAGAAGACAACATTTGAGAAATGTTGAATCTTTTTGAACTACCGCAAAGTTGTGGAATCATGAAAAAGTACTAATAATATGACAATTTCAATATTGTTGTTGTATTGATTCTGATTCTGGTATTGAAATTGTAGATAAGTATTGAGTCTATTCCGTAATATTAAAATCGAGCAACACTACTTCTACTGCAACAATCTTTTGGATGTGAAAAGAGGAGATTGGTAGATCCTCTAGTTTGGTGCTTTCACATCCAAAAAAAGCATATTTAGTCGAGAGTGCTCGAGAGGCCTCTTCAATTGGACCAAATATAAGCACGTCTGTCAATATTTTGTCCACTAACAGAGTACATCTTTACTCAGAACAGTCCGAACCTCTTTTATTGACAGATATCTTGAGTGAAAACAACCAAAAACTCCAAGCTGATTATTGACTAGTGATGATTCATATCTCAGTCCCATTATTCCACAGCCCCAAACAGACTAACAATGAAGTAATGTCTCTAAATGTTGCTTTATTATGTGGTGAGAGAAGGCTGGTCGGCTCTGGATCGGTTTAGATTGTTGCCGTGTGGTGACAAACACGTTGAGTGGAAAACATCCCACACATGAACATTCATGAATGATTGTGTTTCCTGAGGTCTCCGTAGTATACACACATACGCACATGTTACCAGGACCGTGATCCAGAGCAGGACTAGATCAAGAGACGAAGATTTTGTTAAGTCTCATGTTTAATCCTCTTTGATCTTTATTAACTTCCAAGCCTTTATAAGAATTATAGTCGTATGAGAGGTTTTCGATTTTTATTTTACCATTAAATAAAACTAAATACTTACTTTTACAGTAGTCGTAATGCAAAACATTATGAAAAAATGCAACATGTATGTTGCTGTATACATGTTATACCACCCCTCCCACACATCGTTTTTAACCACAGCTTCAGTTTTTCCTGATCTTTGCAGATAGCCTGCAATAAACAGCATATATGATAGTTAAGTCAAACATAGTGTTTAGAAAATAGTACAAAAAACTTCTAAATGGCAAACATTAAAGCTAATAACACAGCTTGTATCACTTTATGGAATAAGTCATAACTCGCAACATTGAAAGTTCATTTTGGGATTGAAGTTTCATTACTTAAAGCTGGGGGAAAACGTTCACGCCACAAAAAATGCCTCTTACTAGTTTCTTGTTCTCAATACATGTGTGTTCGATCACTGTAGTTTTCACTTCAGATCAACTTTTTGGGACAGAAAAGTGAAAAAATAGAGGCCTGCCCTCACTCAGCCAGTCAGCTTTTAGTCCAAAGAGTTCTTTCTAACTGTAATCAAAACATGTTTTCTAAAAGGATGAAAACAGCAGGTCTAATTTGTTAATTTTCACGTTTTCCAAGACTCTTTCTGTTGACACAATGGAAAACATTTATATATTCATGAAAAGAAAGTTAGGGTCCCCATTGGAATCACAACATTATGTAACCATAGGCCGCCTTTATCTCGCTTGTTGCCAACAAACAAATCTTCTTTCCCCGAATCCTACACTGACCCACTTTTGCACATCACGGCTGATAATGGGCTGTGTAGATGGCAGTGAAAGAAGCCCCCTCAGTCTCCACCAGCCGCCCCACCGGTGTCATGTTGTCACCCAACGAGAGGAGACAAAGGCTGGGCGTCTCTCCAACGAAGCGCATACACTCAAGTCCCATCTTCAGCCATGTCAAGTGCTTTAGGGTCTCAAATACACTGAGGGCAAACAACTGAACTTCTGTGTGCTATAATCTCATTCATCACAAACAAATATCATGATGTTTTTAACCTTTTATAGTTCAATATTTATCTAAAACCGTATAATAGAAGAAACATGTCTGCTGAGATGCGTTTTGACAATTTCTATATTTATATCAGTTCCTCTGTCATCACAACAAAACAGCCAATCCCTCTACACAAATCCAATAATATCACTTTATTATGTAAAGTAAAAAAAAAAAACCCTCAACAACAGTCTTCTTGTTTGCAAAGCACTAGTGAAAACCAGGTCGAACAAGGAGCGTGTAAACCTGCAAGTAACCGTTTCAATTGCCTATTTGCTGGCATGTAAGTGATGTGACCCCCTATTGAGACACAGGCAGCTGATACATTTAAGAGCGCAATAGAAATTATAATAGAAAAATATGTATTTAGACACATGTACTGACACATTTCAATTGTTGTTGAATTGCTATGAAGTACAGTCCTTGTTTGTTTTTTTGCTACGTGTGGCAAAAGCAGGAAACATGGTGCGTTGAATTGCACTGCGGAAGTGAAATGACTAGTGCTGCTGCAGTTTAGCACGTATGGAAATCAAATGTCCAAAGTAAAGAAGATGATAACATTTGCCAAAAGTGTCGGTATATCGTGTGTATGATAACATTTACAGTATATTTTCAAGTACTGTTCCAAAGATTGAATGCTATGGCAAAGCTACAAAATCCCTTTGAAAGCATCACAAGGCTTCTTCTTCTGGGCGGGGTCATGAATGAATTTGTATGCTTCTTATGTGTATTCTCTCTTATTCACTTTTGGGAAAACTAGTGATTGAATCCAACTGTTTTCAAGCCAGGAACTAGTTAGCCGGACTTTGTTACATAGTTCAATTGATTTGTGGTTTGAGAGTCAGGTGCCCCAGCTTTTACCACCTTTAAATCAAACATACAGTTATTAAGTGACCATTCATAGAGTAATCAGCACTGAACTAGTTGTCTTACATTGTGACAAACCCCTCTTGACGTAAAAGATTCTGCTGAGTTATCCGCAAAGCATCACACCCAGTCAGACGTAACACAGATTTCCCCTGATCTATCCAAAACGCTCCACCCGGCGATGTCATGCAAGAAGCAGTGACCCAGTGAAAGGCCAGTGCTGCTATAGAGTCAATATTCAATGGGCGTGTCCATGGTGTCCACCCACCCCCCTCCTCTCCCTGCACTCTCTCTTTCAGTCAATGCACCAGCCTGCAACACAAGCCCTCTGTACAGTAGACTGTATAGATAGACATGATGCTGTTAAGTTGTGTATGGGGAAAGGGGTATGGCACAAGGAATTAATAAAAACCATAAAATGCACATTAAATCAAAGTGCTAATAATGTAAACAACACTACACTAGCCTCCACAATGTCACATATCAATTGTGATTAAAGGACAACCCAGGCAGGGATACAACATATGCATAAATGTCCAAGGGTATTCATAGTATGCCAGAATTCAGCAACACATTAATAGAATAGCACAAGACACACATAGATACCACTATGTCTCAAGCTATTCATTCATAGGACACTCTAGGGCAGACACAATGCCATAAAAAAATGAGCCTACAAAAATAAAGGCCTGTGAAAACTAGGCCAAAATTCGCATAAAATAAATAATATAATAAGGCATAGCTGTCAATTTGGAGAGATGTTGCACTGATGGCATAAGGGGCGAGCCGGGTTATCACATGTCGGTAAAAAAAAAAAAATACGCACCGCTCTGACAAAGAAAAAAAAATGTACCTTTAAGAAAACGCCTTGTTCCCCTGCACTGGCTGTCACCATGGAAGCAGGCATGCACTACACCACACACCACATACAATTCCACATTTGTGCCCTGCATTTTTTTTTGCATCCAACTTTCCCAAAGCCAACGAGGCGTGAATAACTGCTGCAACTCACTGTGATTTTCGGAATGTTCTTTTTTCCTTGATAAGACATGGTTTTAGTCCAGGAGCCGAGAACAGAGAGAGGTCTTTGAGAGTGTTTTCTTCCCCGCGGTTGGATGATGCTGCTGCGGAGGAAAGCTTCGCCCGTGTGCGTGTGTCGCTGATGCCGCTGCTGGGATGAGAAGTGTGGGAACAGTGAAGCTGGGGCCCCTCCCTCAAAGACACCATCCACTCACAGGCAGTGAGGGCAAGTGTCCGCTAGAGGGCGCAAGTGATGCGGCGGGCGTGCAGCTGTCTGTGTTATACTGAAGTTGTAGTGACACTTTTTGGGTGAATTTATATAAAATTAGACGAACATGCTCTGTCAGTTCATCTCATGCTGTTATATTGTACACAGAAGACCAGTGTACAATATAACAGCATCCAAACAGCCCTTTAACTGAAGAAGAATAAACGTGGAATGGATCAACAAAAACTACAACACGTGTATAAATGACAGCCAAAGTGATTTTGTCAGACCACTACTTTCATAAGGAGACACAATTATTGTAAGACTGTTTTTAGACAAAACACTTCACAGACATTGTCTTGTATGAATCTGGTTAGGGGCATATACAGTAAAAGGATTTGTAGTCTATGGTGGTGATCTGAGAGGCCAAGGGCCCAGATTGGCTGCCTCGCTTTCTTTCAGGGCAGCTGTGGACACAGTAGAAGTTACTGCCACCACTGTCTTTAGAGTGAATGAACACAGCAAAGTGTTCATGGGCATTATGAAAGGCTGTACTGTAAAAATGCCATGTATCATTCTGTGCAGCAGTTACAATACATACTATTACAATAGTATACACTACATGTATGATTTATACTAAAACAACATCTGTTTCCCTTTCTTTTATTGAAACTTGTATCAAATACAGGTGTGTGTGTGTGTGTGTGTGTGTGTGTGTGTGTGTGTGTGTGTGTGTGTGTGTGTGTGTGTGTGTGTGTGTGTGTGTGTGTGTATCACAATGTTATTTGGGACATAATAGTGAATATAATTCACAACAAGAGGGGACCCGAGTTTGCGGATTTGCCGGAGACATTTTTAAATCTATTTATTATATTCTATGAATGAATTTTTGTCTTTGTCAATGTTTTATTGTTGGCCATTGTTCTTTCTCTGTGTTAGTTAAGCACAGTGGTTGCTTGCTGAATGGTGCATTATCAATACATTTGTGGGAACCTTAACGCTGCACCTGGAGATTACTTTGTCTGGAATATTTCCTGAATGAAACAGATGCACTTTCTTGATATTAATGCTAATTGCACTGCATTGAAAACCTAAAGCATTGAGTCTTGTGTCATGTTGTGTCTTTCATTGATAGATTCTAATTGGGGACACAGCAGTCTGGGAGCAGCTGTCCTCCACACACGCCCAGCCCCATCCAGCCTCCAGCCCGGACATGTGGCCCTTTGTCTGAACTGCCCCTCAGAGCTGCCCCCACCCACTTCCTCCTCTCAGTGTAATGCAGCGTACACTGACCAGCTCTAAAAGGCTAATAATATCAAGGGTGTGTCCATCAATGGCATATACAGTTTTCATGTACTTCTTAAATTCCTCTGCTATAGTGTTTTCTACGGCATGAACTGGTTCTGCATTCTGTCGTTTATTTACAAAATATGTATGGGTCAAAATTATTGATTTATTTGGTTCTTGGCAAACCAAGTGCTGAAATGTTTTGTTTTTGTTACTGTAAAAATGCATTCCAATTTATCAAATAGGTTATCAACAAACATGCATCACGCTAAACATGTTTGTACTGGTAAATTACATAATTATTTTATGAGTCTGACAAAAATATGTTTTCTTTTAGCATAAGCAAAACAGCAAAGAGTCCAGAGTAAGATAAGATAAGATGTACTTTATTAATCTCACACAGGAGAAATTTACATTTAGTACTCCACGTTTTAGCAAAATCCAAACATGAAACAGACACTGACAATGGTACCAACCCCCTTTTTTTTTTTTTTCACTTTATTTTTATTGAGTTTTATAAATGTTACAACATGTGCAATGGAAATGCATAGCATGTACATTTTGCAGAAATTCACCAATGCACATGTAAAGTACGTCAGTCATATACAATGGAAATTAAGCAAAAATAAGAACACAAAAACACAAACAAAGCTATGCAACAAATAAGCCCACAGCGGGCCTCCATCTCTTCATGAAAAGTTCTCTCTGCAATCTTAGGGAGTGTGTGATCTCCTCCATGTGATATATCTCTCTTACTTTCTCAATCCAAATAGTATAAGTAGGTGGTTCTGGACTCAACCATTTGATAGTAATACACTTAAGTGCAGCAGTCAGTAAAATTCTCAAAAGATATTTTCTGCTATTTCCTCCAAAGCCATCCGGGACCGCCCCCAAGATGGCAAGCTGTGGTTCTTTTATAAGCGGCTGCTGAAATATTGTATTGAGTGTGGTAAATATATCATTCCAAAACAAATTCACCTTTGGGCATGTCCAAAATATGTGGGTGTGAGTTCCCAGGTAAGTACCACAATTGCGCCAGCAGGTGTCAGGATTAGAAGGATTCATTTTGGATGTGATTTCTGGTGTCCTAAAAAATCTTGTGATTATTTTCCATTTAAAATTCTCTCCATAATCCAGAATTTGTGACTAGGTGCGATTCAATGCAAATATTTTCCCACATCTCATCTGTCATTTGAGTGCAAATCTCAGCCTCCCATCTTGCTTTAATGTATGAAGTATTATTGAAATTCAAATTTGAGAGTGCTTTGTAAAAAAGACAACTTTTTTGGAGAGCAATTTCCCTGATATATTTTTAGTAGAAGTTCTTCAATAACTGAGGGATGTAGGACTTTGTTCCATTCTCTGTGTTTGGTCAAAAAACTCCTTAACTGTAGATATCGAAAGAAATCTGAAGAGGGAAGCTGAAATTGACTCCTGAGCTGCTCAAAAGATTTCAGGCAACCGCTGCCCACCAGCTGGCTCACCTTAACAAGACCAAAGGTTGACCACATTTTAAAGCTAGCATCGATTAGACATGGGGCAAATCCCTGGAGGCTGGAGATATCTGAGAGGACTGAAATTTCTCTTGGAAGACGACATGACTGCTTAATTTTATCCCAGATCTTAAATGTGGCCTTAGTCCACTCGCACATTTGTACTTCCCTCAGTGAGACATTACGGAAAGGCAAATTGTTAATAGGCGTATTACACAAACTCTTTTCAATATTAAGCCATTGAGTGTAAGACAGGTCCTGCATCCAGACAACCAAGGGTCTCATTTGAGCTGCCCAAAAGTAATGCTTGAGATTGGGTAGTGCAACTCCACCTTGTGACTTTGGCAATTTTAATGTTTGCAATTTAATTCTAGGGCGTTTACCCTGCCATATAAATTTGGAGAAGAGTTTATCCAGTTCATCAAATGTAGAATTAGGGAATATTTATAGGCAGCATTTGGAAGAGGTATAATAGTCTGGGTAAAATGTTCATACGTATACTCTCTATGCGCCCCATGAAAGAAAGAGGCAGGACCGTCCACCTCTCCAAGTCTTTTTTAATCCTCCCAATTAAAACCCTGTAGTTTACCTTGTATAATTCTGTTAAAGAGAGTGGGATTTGAATACCTAAATACTTCATACCTTCCTTTGGCCATTTAAAACCACTCTGATCTTTGAAATGTTTTGATATGTTTCCCACTAAGTCCATTGCTACCGTTTTATCAATATTGACTTTATACCCAGAGAGGTAGCCATAGGAGCGGATTATTTTCATTAGATGAGGGATGGTTGTCGTTGGATTTGAGATGTATAGTAATAAGTCATCGGCATATATGGACAGTTTGTGATGTTCACCATTTATTAAGAATCCTGTGATGTTTACGTCATCTCTGATTAGCTGTGCTAGAGGTTCAATACTTAGATCAAACAGCAGGGGTGATAATGAGCATCCTTGCCTGCAGCCGCGTTCTAGTGGGAATCTGTTTGATATTGTTCCATTGACCTTTACACTGGCTGAAGGGTTAGAATATAACATTTGGATCCATTTAATGAAGTTTGGGCCGAAATTAAATGTTTGTAATGTGTGATTTAAATATTGCCAGGACACCCGATCAAATGCCTTTTGGGCATCGAGAGAGAGAATCATTGCTTCGTTTTGTTGGGTTTTAGAAATAGAAATTAAATTTAGAAGTCTACGAACGTTGTCCCCATAGTGCCTTCCGGTTATGAACCCCGTCTGGTCTGGGTTTATAATATTTGTGATAATTTTACCAACCCGTTTGGCCAAGACTGCCGTGAGGATACGTAAATCTGTGTTGAGCAATGAGATTGGTCGATATGACTGGCAATTTGTTGGATCTTTGCCCTCTTTATGAATGACAACGATGGTAGCATCATTCCAGGAAGGCGCCATGGATTCGGTCCGCAGGGCATAATGATAAGCTTGGAGTAATAATGGGGTCAATTTTTCTCTAAATTTGTTATAAAATTCATTGATGTAACCGTCAGGACCAGCAGTCTTAAAACTCTTCAGGTTAGAGATTGTTTGTTGAATTTCCAGTTCTTTGATTGGTTCATCTAACTGTTTTGCTGTGGATTCTGTAAGTGTCTTTAATTTTATGTTTTTTTAGAAATTCGGACAGTACGTGGTCATCTTGGCAAGTATCTGTATTTTTATACAGAGATTTGTAATACTCTGCAAAAGAGTTTGCAATTTTGTCAGGTTTAGTGATTGTTGTATGTTCATTCTTCAATTTTTGAACCGTATTAGCAGATTGCTGCTTTTTAAGTCTCAGTGCTAGCAATCTACTGGCCTTATTCCCATTTTCGTAGTACTTTTGTTTAGTGAATCTCAAATTACCCTCTATTTTTTCTGTAATCAGACTGTCAAGTTCCTTCCGCAGTGATTTGAGTTCACTGAGTATATTTGGGGTTTGGGTTCTTTTATGTTTTTGCTCTAGGTTTGTTATCTTACCCTCTAGCTCTCGCCGTCTAGCCTCATTTTTCTTTTTCTTGGCACAAGCAAATGATATTATACGGCCT